TAACTTATTACTAATGTTCTTGTGTTGCATTCTGACTGCCTTTTTTGTTTACTTGATGTTATTTTATGTAAGTTCACTGTTCACTTTTCACTTGTGTTGCGTATTTTACGTGCTGTTATAATTAATAATTTTATTGTTATTGTTAACCGAGGGTCCCACTGCAGTCGCTTAACTTTGGGACCCTCGTCTGCATACTACATTCTACGAATTTTGTATTTTGAATGAATGAATAAACTGAACTGAACTGAACTGAAAGAGCCATTCAGCTTGCACTAACCGTTAGACGTTGTAGCCAGTAAAATTTAGAAGAAAATAAAAAATACAAGCATCCAACTTAAAAGCTGTCTTTTTTAAGGAAGAAAAAGAAGAAAAAATGCAATCACCAGGTTGAAGCAGTTTTTGTATAGGCTTCATCATCATCATTGTATAGGCCTAAATTTTCCCTAAACCACCTCCAATATATATATTTTTACAACGTAAAGTAAACGCGCCGTCACGATCAACAATATTAAACGTAGTAGCGCTACGAGCCGTGGGCGCACCGCACACTCCAGAGAACAACCCCTTCTCCTCTCGGAACCTTCGGTGACACCCAGCCTTATATGAAAAAATAAAGTTACAGCTTTACCGCAAAGGCAAAACAATGAACGCGATTGCAACCAACTGGAAGGACACGCGAAGAATGGCAAGCAGATTGAAACGTGCCCCGCGCTTCTCACGCAGAAATGACGCACAAAACGTATTCACAGGTACAGATGAACGCAAATAAGCATGTCAGTTGTTACTTCGCTGTGTCTGAAAAGCACGTCCTTTTTGCAAACGGAGATTGTGCAACGAGTGCAGTGACCTTTGTGCGCCCGGTAACTACAACAGAATCGTTCCTGAAAGCCCAAGGCGTACGTGTCCCCACCGCGAGATAAGCGAGCGCACACGTGATCGTTCACCCTACTCTCTCTCCGCGGGACCAAGTACGCGTGGGAGATGAGATGAGCGCGCACCACCGCGTTGTGACGATCTGGCGTCCATATAAGTGGCAGAGCAATAAAAAAAAGAGAGCGTCCATATAAGTGGCATCGCAATAAAAAAAATGCCCGCACATCTGGGAGAGGGGTGTGAGCGACGGTAACATGAAAACACATTACAAGAGGCTGTTGACACTGTAGAGATATATGTAGGAGGTAAGAGGTTAAAATGATCTCCCGAAAAGTCATAATTGCTCACTTATAGGCCCACACGTAGGGGACACAAAAGCCTACAAGAAAGGCCAGACATCGTGCTTTTCGCAGGTGAGAGTTTAAAATACCCACGGCAGCAAACCTACGAGCTCTCGGCCTCCGTATATCTGAGGATGGGCATAATGGAGAAACTAATAGGCTATTAGAGAACAGCGTCCACCAAACAAGCAGGATGATCAAACGAACAGCCAACAAAAACTATGGTATGAAGGAACACAACTTAGTTCGTTTAGTCCAGGCTGTTGTCGTCAGGCGCATCATATACGTCGCCCCATATCTTTAACTACACACAGCTTAACAGAGCAAAATAGATTGCATCATTAGGAACGCATATAAACAAGCAATAGGTCTACCCCTAAATAGATCGAACGACAAGTTCTTGGCTCTAGGGCTACATAACACGCTCGCAGAACTAATAGAGGCCCACATCATGGCACAGTATGATCGGTCAACCCAGAGCCCTACGGGCGGGCATATTTTGGACACAATTGGCGTCACGTACAACGTGCACGTACCTTAGCCACTAGACCACCGCGGCGGGGCCAATTTGTGAAGAGCCATATAGCTTGCAAACAGCATATACACGCAATACGTGGCTGGTAGCACTACTGGATTTGAAGAGGCGTCCCTGCCGAGACACAGTTTCTATGGGTTCATTGCGTCCACATCATCAACGAAATTTAGGATAGGCCCCAAATTTTTGGGGCTCTAAACAGTGTGGAAGCCACTGCTCATGTGCCGGATGAATAATGTGGTTGATTTTCACATATTGAAATTATTCAGGAGCCCCCAAACTTGCTCTACAAGTGCCAAAAGCTTGGCGTCAACATGGCGGCGCCCTTTGAAACGACAACTCCCGTCAGACTGATTCAACTTCAGAGTAAGTGATGACGTCATTAACGAGTAAATGCTGATATAGGCTGTCGCATTTACTAATTTCACGCACACAACTAAGAGAGGATGAAAAATGGCCAATGTTCCAAAGATTGGTGGTGCGTCTGAAAATTTTAAAGCCCATAGGTTTCAAGTCGCTGGAATGCTTTAGATGATGATGGGTAATTTAAATCCACATAATTGTTATTACACGCTTTAAACAATAGTTTTAAAGAGTACACTTATTGAACGCATGTCCCTTGTGAATTAGGTTTTAATTTATATTCTTAATCCCTTCCCCTTATCGCTCTAGCCACAATACTCAAACAGCAAGTGCAACACCTCTACTTGATAACTCTATACTAGTACCTCCTTGGCGACCCACAGCTATTGCATGCAAAGCACTTTGGGGCTCCAAATATCTGCTGTCCCTATGCTAAAACTTGTATAAGCAATGAGTCCGCATCGGCCTTGCAAGTTCATATGTTACACTCAGGGCAATTCGTGGCTTCTAACTTTTGCATATTATAGACCAAAGACTTATGTTACGCAAAAATCGGCCTTAAGTTATATTACAAAAAACATGTGGAAGCTCGCATATCGCATATCACAGATAAAATGAATAAGTTCTGCCCTGTAAGGGTGCCGACACCCCCTGTAAAATTGTTTGCACCGCGTGACGCACGTATCTCACGCAGAAGCCGCATTTCGAGTTATAACTACCGGGCAGTAGGTAGCGTTGTGTTCGTGAGCATTTCTCGCCACACTGTAGGGTGGGAGGCACCTCTGTTCAGCTCAGATCCAAAGAACCAAGAGGCCCTCGTGAGACGAGCGAGGACAGCGGCCCGTGCCAATGAAATCCTGGACTAAGGATCCCACTCACCGACGTTCCTTCCTTGGTCGCAAATAAATGTTTTATTCTCTCTCTCTCGCCACCAAATTCATCATCATTATGGTTATAGCACCGGCGGTGACGCCTGGCGGGAAGCCTTGGTGGCGGCGCGCAAGAAATTAACTCCTCTCTCTGTTGGCTTGAGGCGGTAGCACAAACGGTTGCCTCAAACGGTGGGTCTGCCGTGGACGGCACCGCGGGCTGCCTGCGGTGGGCCCGCGTGGCAAGTCAAGCATTAGCGACACTGCCTTCTTTGTCATGTTGTTGAGTGTTGTTTACTATTATGTAAGGATGTCTTAGTGTGTAGATCACGATTGATGTTATAATGATTTGGCTTACAATATTGTCGTTTTTTTTAAGTAGTTAAATAAATGTGTGTGTATTGGTTTGGTTCGCTCCAACCGTGTCAAGTGTGTCCGTTCACTCCAAGAGCGTGGCACTCTCTCGCCACTTCAAGACCCCCCAGCCCTTTGTTTTCTTTCAGCATCGTGCTAGTATTACTAGCTGCATGTACAAAATCAAGTTGCAACCTGTATTTCATTGAAAATAAACCATGCAGTTTGCACAAAGTGAGCTTGGTACGCTTAATAAGCGACGAGTGCAAAAAGCAGTGAAAGGGCAAAGGGCGTGGCCTATTGCACAAGCAATGTGCACCTGCTTTCCCTTTCCACTCGTTCGATATGAACCAACTAGCCTGCAGGCTGCAAGGAGGTTTTACTGCAACATAGTGGAAGTGTCCATCTGTCGTCCCTCCCGTCTCCCTAATGCGAAACCCTGTGTACAATGATGGCCGCGACATCAATGGGACAAGATCTGGAGATCCTTTACAAGCACAGTGCTAAACTACTTATCAGTTCTTGAAAGGATGGTCAGTATAAGCTAATTTTCGGTTAGGCATCGCAACATCTCTCCAATTGAGAATTTCAGACTTTGCATCTACGGATAGTGTAAAGCTCCGAACCTTGCTTGCAGCATTGTAAACAGGTTTGGATGCTTTCATTCTCCTGGTGGTTTGCATATAAAACAGAGAAAGAAACCATTCACTCTGTCGCAAGGAAACACAAAATGGGCAGCGTATGACTTGATATGTGGGGTTTAACGTCCTAAAACCACCATATAATTGTGAGAGACGCCGTAGTGGAGGGCTCTGGAAATTACGGCTCCCTTTGGGTTCTTTAACATGCTTCTAAATCTGAACACACGAGCCTACCGCATTTTCGCCTGCATCGAAAATGCAGCCGCCGCAGCCGAGATTCGATCTCGCCACCTGCGGGCTAGCAGCCGAGTACCTAAGCCACTAGGCCACCGCAGCAGGGCTGTGCAGCATGTCAAATAAGCTACATTGGTAACATGAAATCGCCCAAATATCTTTGAATATTTGCAGAATCGTGAATACAGCTTTGCTACACAGCACAATAGTTTGGCAACAAATATACAAAAAAGTGCATTCTGTACAGAGCATGGCATCAAATATAACTATGACCATTTTATAGATATTGTGGCAAAGCCTTTGAACAGTGGGTCGTCCTCTCGAGTGCCTTCTAGCGGGTCGCCCTTTTCATAAGAAGAACAGCAGCTCGTGCAGAGAGTCGGTCCCCGCATTGACTGTCGCTGTCGTGAATCATCAACGAGTGTCCGCCAATAAACGTCTTAACAATTTGGTGGAGGTGCTGGGGATTAGTTTTAGGAGGATCACATAAGACACTAGATTCAATAAAGACTATCATAAATTAGATTGTACATAGCAGGTTTCACCTGTCATCTAGATAGACCAGAGAGCATTAATGAAGGCTTTCTTCATACAATATGTCTAAAGTGCAACCAGTTAAGCGTCTAGCTCTCAGAATGTTTGCTTCCTCTTTCTCAGGCACTCGGCTCCAGCCCGTTGAGTCATGAGAGCCAATCAGAGAGAGAGAAAGTGATTGTGGGGAGACAGGGGCAATAAATGACCCCAGTCAGAACTACACCTGCAATATCAATAACCAATGCAAAGCAGAAACTGCATTACCAACAGAAACGTTTTATCGGCTCAACACACAACATTACAATCGCACTTGTACACACAAGAATCGGCAGTCCCCTAGTCCAACTTCTCCAGGAACAAGTTTGGATAAAACCTAAGGCCTTCGACCGAGTCGTCACGGCAAAGCAAGCCCCTCTGCTCAGCACAAATTAACCTGGACAAAGAATTGAAAGAGAGGCATTCATTTAGTCATCTGTCTTGTTATATTTGTTTATTAATGTACTGTGACTGTTGCCTATGTAAAAAAAAAAGAAAATAAAAAAGATGTGTTTAAAGAGACACTAAAGGCAAAAATTAAGTCGATGTTGATTGCTGAAATAGTGGTCGAGAAACCTTGTATTGCGACCTTTGTGCCAACAGAGTGCTTATTTTGAAATAAAGTTGCATTGTAGAGGTCCGCATAACGTTGGCACACCTCAAATTACCAGCCTCAAGTGGAAACTTTCACGTCACTGTTGACGTGCATAAAGCTGACCGGTTTACTGCGCAACCGCCGACACTAGTAGCAGCACAGTGAAAGTAGCGGGAGCCACAGCAGCGACAACAGCTATTGTGCAATTTCCTGCCATGGCCTCTGAGATGGCAGCCGTACCTGGTTCAACTGGGCCCCGCTAGATGGAATGACCTGTCCGGTTTAACCAGGTGAAAATTGAACTTTTGAACCACCCATGCCATTCCCTATTGTAACGTCCGGCTGTTCTTTTTTTTTATGAATCAAACAGAAACGAACAAGCGGCATTTTATTACGTTTCTTGATGTACAGAAGGTTCTTTATTTAGTGCAGCTAGTTCGATTACTAGTGATTAATTGTAGGCGGTAACTCTGACATCTTAGGGATCATTTTGCAAATGTCTTACTTATGGCGCATGTGTTCTTGTGCATTTACATTAATTTCTCGATAAGTAGGGCACTGCTGTTGATAATAGTGTCGTTTTAGGCATTGTCATACATTGACCTTTCACTCTGACATAAATTGTTATTTGACTTTAGTGTCCCTTTAAATATATACATAAAGGATACCTAATATGAAGTGTTAGTTATAACAAGCTAAAAATCATGCAGTAAGAAAATTCCAATTATGAGTCATATGAAGAAAAAAACAAAAAACAAGTGCACCTAAACGACATCTACTTCACTTTTTGTACTGAAGAAGCTGTTCTGAACACTGAAAAGTAGTCAAAGGTCTCTACGGACGTTTTGCATCTGTCATCAGCCTGCCACTGGACCATAGCATTCTGTATATGATCACAGATTCCACACTTCCACAACAACAGTGACGTGCTCACCTTTCTTTAGCCAATATGACTGGAATGTGAACGAGGGGTGAAAGTTGCTCAGCTGACAATGAACCATGTTCATCAATCTGGAAGAAAAAAAAGAAATCAGTTACCGGGACTGATTGCTACAGTTCCTGCCTTTTGTCGTGGTGAAACATAACATGTATTAACTACAGTGTGTCAAATTCTGCCAACAATGCAATCAAAAGCCTGAATGTCAGGACCGTTGCAGGCTTACTAAATCAATATTTATTCTTTATACAAGTTCTCTCTGGTAAGCGGCAAGGCAAACATGCTGCGTGATGAAAGGGCTAAAAAATGAACTTTAGAACCTAATGTTTATGAGTGCGCTGTCTTAGCACTTTCCTTATCCCACTCACAACTTGAGACTGTCCACACCAACATAAAGAAAGCAATTAATAAGTCCAAATGTAAACATTATTACAGAAACTCTAAAACCCACCTCATCCAGTGCACTGTGCATAATCCTTCTATGCACCAATTATGAAACTGCTGAAGAAAGTACTGTTTTCATTTTCCATCTTTTAATAGCAACCTTTAAATGATTCCACAGTTATTTAAAATGCACCTTTAATGCATACTTTTATGTATGTCGTGAATTCTCCGCATGCCACAGAAGCAAGGACCTTGCTATGAAAAATGTACTTCAGAACAATGTAACATTTAGTGCGCCACATCTTTAGAACACACAAAAACTTACAACAGCCAGGCAAGAAAGAATGAAGTGAGAGCTCTTGCACACGCTTTCACTCTCTGCCATCAGCTACAAAACAATCGGTTCTAGCATAAAATACATAACACAAAACACCGCTAGATTTTTCATGCTGAAAACTACGTTCCTTGCGAGTACTTGGCAGCTGGAATTAAAGGCGGCACTGCCGCATTCCGTGACTTGCTTGCTTAAAGTTTTTCGGTATGTCGCGAATTCTCGACACTAGGCAGCAAAGTGATAAGGAACCCCACTTCAAAGATATTTTGAACAGTACAACATTAAATGAAAAAACGCTGCCAAAGTCTGCTTCCCGTTAGTATACACAATATATATCACCACCATGACCTGACTGTCACAGCCCAAACACTGCAACTGCTATTTTTGTAATATCTATCTAGTCTACATGTGACCATAAACTATATTACAGAAGCCAAACAAGCTAGTTATGCTAGGTAAGACTTGGTGTGACTTGCACGCAGTGGTAACGTCTACAGTACTGTGGATGACTTGATCGTTGCTTTGTATTTCTTTTGAAAAGAAGCCCAAGAACATCAATCATAGCTAGGCTCCTTGGCCCACTTTCAAGCCATTGTAAACATCAGCTACCGTGAGGCTGCAACCTGGTTAGAGACATTCTATTAAGGCAGTAGAAACCATTGATAATGTTGTACTCTACAGTGGTTTAGTCGTTACCAGTAAGCTTGTGCGAGTATTCAAACAAATAATGCAGTATTCGAATTCACTTCGAATCAAACTTAAAATATTGAAAATTGCGAATTATTCAGAACAAACATATAAATGCATATTAGCCCGCATGTGTCACCCTGTAAAGGTGGTTTCACTAAAATAGAGCGGTACTAAGCCATGAAAACACATATCCAGGGAGAACCCGCACTGTCACAAAGCCGCACTTCAAGGTTATATGAGGATACTGCCCTGACATCGATTCATTTAAGTTTAAAAGCTTGGTATACCTGCTTATATGCTCTAAGTATAGTGAACTTGAAAAAGTGACATATTTTATAGGCCATTGCTTACATTTTAGCAAAAGTCAAATTATGCTACTATTCAAAGTTGTTGCCGCTTTCATTGATGCGACAAAAATTGTATTTGCACAGACCTTGTGTCAATTTTTTAAATATATATTGTGCAGGTTTGTTAGGTTATGACAAATATGCCCATTTTTCTTTATAATATATGGTATATATGCTATTTGAATTTGATTTGGAATTATTAGACCAAAATCGCTATTTGCTTCGAATTTGCTTCGCACCTAAAACTCACTATTCGTACAAGCCTAGTTACCAGAGTTTCCGCTCTTGATAAACATACATTACATTGCTTTTCCTGCCTCCACCAGTATCTTTTTTTTTTTTTTAACAACATGTGGAAGTAGGCTGTAAACTTTTCAATTTCAGGAGCCAATTTTCACCCTCATATACTTACTGATTTTACTTGCAAAAAATCTACAGGACTACAGTCGCCGACCGATTTTCCGGACTCCAAAAATTCGGACTTGTTGGATATTCCGGACTTCATAAATGCACCGTCAGGGATCCCATAGAGCTAATGCATTGTTTCGACCGATTTTTCGGGCGAATTTGCCCCTGAAAGTTCGATGTTTCGGACTAAATCGCTCGTTTTGTGCCACGCCCCAAGCCATTGTGAACGCCGCCATGTTGGATTTTCTGTCGGCTTGGCTAAGCTTGGTCTTCAGATGCTTTTCCTGCCTCCGAGATTGGAATGCGCACGCCATATTTTAAGTTTCGGAGGCCGTGTTTGCTTTTTAAAAGACGCGGTGATGGATGCCGTTTTTTCGTCTTCGGTCAGCACTATCGTCATCACATCGCACCGGGAGGAGGCGAAAGAAGGATTCTCTACCTGCCACAATGACATTTAAATACTTCACTCGTGCGGACGACGACATTGTTTCGAGCGCGGAGGCCACTGACGACGAAATTCTTCGCCAGGTTGTCCCGGAGCCGGAGAGCGGCTCGGATGATGACAACGACGACTGCCCGCAGCCGTCGGCGGCGGAGATCGCCAACGCGGTGACAATTTTGTCGAGCGTTTATGGCGACGATGTCACCTTGGCGCAAATACGGGCAAACCAAATTGCCTCCAACCGTAGTTTGAGGCAAGGCAGCATCAAGGACTTTTTTAAACCTGCCTGATGCAATAAACTTCAGATTTTTGGCGAAAACGAATTTTTCGGACTATTCGATTTTTCGTACTTTTTTTCGGTCCCCGCCAGGTCCGAAAAATCGGTCGGCGACTGTATTGCCATTCTTACCTGTTCTCAGTATTTTAGAAGCTAGCCAGAGCGTGATATGCACCAAACTTACACAGAGATGTCTTGAATAAAACTGATGCTTAAGGGAGTGGACAGGGCTAATAAGCCAATTTTCGAAATTAAAAGATGCATTTTCAAACTTGAGTTGTTTTGGATTCCTGGTTAATTAAAGAATGTGCTCGCCAAGTTTCGTTATCTGTACAACAGAAAAAAATAAATGGAATTTTTTTTAACAAGACGGTGGCGAAGATTTGCTGTCGAAAGAGTCTTTCAAACCCTTTTCAAGACACCGCCGCAAAACGGACAAGAAGTGGGATGCAAAGTGAAAGGCCATGCAAAAACCCCTGTTTCCTAGTGCCTTTTAGTCACTGAAAACCTACTGTCAAGAGTACACCAGAAGACAAAATAATAAATTTAAAAGGCACATCTTTAGTTGCAGTCATAGGAGTCAGTTGAGAATTGAAATCGAAGCTTAGAGTGGCGGAAGCATATGGTGTGACCATCCCCCACTGGCTGTGCACCAATCCCAAGTTACTCCTGCTGTGTTTACGTGCTACTCGGCTTGTCTGTTTTCCTGCTCTTTTTTCAGCGAGGCCATTGCAATTGGCGGTAGGTCCATGCTGTGACCAACACAGACTGTGTTGTATTAAAGAGAAAGGTCCTAGCTATGCTGCAGGCACTTTGATTATTGTTTTGAATATCCAAACTTTCTTTATCAGTTTGCACGTTTGGAGAGGACTGGTCTAATAATAACGAGTGTACTCTTTAACCACATCCATCGAAAATGTGGCTGCTCCAGCCACATTTTCCAGCCGGGATTCGATCCCACGACCCATGAGTCAGCCAGTTGAGCACCATAAGCACTAGGCCACAGCAGTAGGTTGGAGGCATGTTATAAAAATAGGTATGTTGAAAAAACTATTATTTCCTAGTAAGAAGGTGGTTTCCAAGCTGAAGTTTTGTGAGGAACAAGGTAAAATAGTTTTCCAATCCCTCAGTATTTTCTAAGGCAATATATTATCAGATTTCATTTCTGACATGCACTGACAACAACAAAAAAAATTCGCTTTACAGTGATCACATTTTCACAGAAACAACAAAAAATATGTCAATGGCCTGATCCGGCACTATGACTATGTAAGATGCATCTAAATATGAAGAATCTGTATATTTTTGAAATGCTTGACTGATCACTATGATAGCGGTCAGTTTCTTTGTATTCATGCTAGGGTGATGAAATATAGAATATCTTCTAATAACAAGAAGATGACCGATCCCTGAAATTTTTTCAAAATTCAAGAAATTTAAAAGCTGACTCTTCAGCCCTGCATACCTCTTAAATGAAACAATGGCCTCTGCATGATCCATTTCATCACTACTTTCACCCTCATTGAATGGAACTCCTGATTAACAGAACATGTTTTCCTGGTCCTTTCAAATATGAACACTTCCTACACTTTAGCAGTTTGGTGCAAAATTAGGATGTAATTCGTGCTGAAATAAATTGACCACACCCATCTAAAAATTTATAATCCAAGAAGAAAAGCAGTATTAGTGAATATGAACACTTGCCAACTGTCGGGTTTCTGTACTCGTTGCTTCATCATTTTGTGTAGCCAGTTTCAGAACTGTGACCCCACTTCCGAACACGTGTAACCTGTGGATAACCAAACGTGTTCAAAGTGTTAACATAAAACAAAGTTCGCACAAATCAATCATATCAAACAAACTATGCCTAATATGAAGATACAGCTCACACTGCTTGACGTGCAATAAAATAAAGGTAAAAATGCCTTAATGAGAGAACAAGATGCTGCAACACACCAACATCAATACATTCTTAGCAGAGCACATAAACACTTAATGCAAGAACATCATCATATTCTTAGCAGAGAACATAAACACTCAGTGCAAGAACATCATGACATTCTTAGCAGAGTACATAAACACTTAATGCAAGAACATCACGTTTTTAGCAGAGCACGAACACTTAATGCAAGAACAACATGACATTCTTAACAGAGCACATAAACACTTAATGCAAGAACACTATCACATTCTTAGCAGAGCACATAAACACTTAATGCAAGCACATCAGTACATCTTTAGCATTCCTAATGCTGCTTTGCCAACACTCTGAAATCGCAGAAGTGCGGCTTAACAGACTCTGCAGGAAATTTCATACCATAGATTGAACAATTGTAAACTTTCTTTTTTACTACGTATTAAACTTTACATGCTGCTAAGTTTTGAAATGGTGCACTGCTTACCTCAACGGTAGCTGTAAAGACTCCATAACCTTACATGCATTTAGAAGATCCTCTGGGGACAAAAGCTGCATGAAAGGGTAATAAGTCCCATTAGATCATTGTGTTACATCATAGGTACATAACAGTTACGGCTTACTTTGAAAAAGCGTTAGAAAATGCCACATTTTTTGCACCTCAAGTGCATCAGATCAAAACGAAATTTATACATACTGTCGCTGTGAAGACTGGGAATCGAATCCATAACCCCATGCTCACGAGATGTAAATTCCAACCACAATATTACGAGTTAGATTTCCGGTCACAATGGCTGCCCTCCTACAACAGGGAAATTAAGAAACCTATCTACCCTGAACTGTACGTACACAGAAGAATTCCAGGTGGGCACAATAAATCTTCAACCCTCCTAAAGATGCCCTTAATAACATATCATGCAGTTTTGAGGCATCCAACCCAATAAGAATTAAGCTTTAGTAAAGTTAAGTCCAAGGAAGCCCTCAAAGTAAGACACTGCTTCTTCCCTCGTGAGAATGTTTTTATATACTTCCATATTCCAGACACAATGAGCTCACCTCTAGGCCCCTTGCTCTGTTTATCCTGCAGTAGACATCTGTTAGAGAAAGAATTCCTCCACTTTCCTGCAAAAATGAATAATCAAGTTATTCAGTGTCTGCACAAAGTCTGATGATGACACAACTTGACTTTTATCGAGCAACATGTTGTATTTCAGTGCATCTTACCAATAAATATACGAAATGACAAAAAAAAACCTTGCCATCAAAAATATTTCGAATCAACCCGATAGGTTTTCTAGCATCGGCACTACAGCGAAACAACCACAGATTCTTGCCAACAATGAACAGTGCTTCTTAGCAATCCCAAACTTACTCAGAAGTTAGCACACTGCTCTTATTATCAATAAGAGCAGGCTGCTACAACTACTGAGATAAATGGTCTTAAAGTAACGGCTGCCTATGAATAACTAGCTCAAGACTTGTGCAGCATTAGACTGCACTACATAAATCTGTAAAGACTACCATAACAAGAGAGCAATGAAACGTAGCACCAAACACACACAATCAAGCACCTCAATGCAACTGCAGCACCAGTTTGACGACCATATAAAAACGTTAGCATCTAAAAAAAGGTATTTGAAAGATATACCTGGACAGGTCCCTCAAGCACTTCAGCAAGCTGCTTGGCAAGTTCTTGGTAGTAGGTCATACCAGATCCATAGGCACTTTTTGTGACTGGATCACTGATTCCCAGAGACAGCAAGTGTGACTTGAACATGACTGTCTGCACAGGCACAAGTGGGGACAGCCAGAGTGATTGATGCACATGAAGCAAGTCATGCGAAAAATGGGAAGCTTGGCATAGCAATCAAAAAGAAAATGTGACCAGGGTGCATCACAGGAAAACAGGAGCATGAAAAACCATGCTAGATGACAATAAGTTTGCTTTTAGAATCTGAGTTCGAATAACTTCTTTTGCTGAACTACTTCTCATTCCTTTACAGTTAACTATTCACACAGTCCTACCTAACAGCTGAAGGTTTCCATACAGAAAGCTAGAAGTATTTCTTTAATCGAAATAATGTTTCCACCAACAACAGCAGTCAGAAGATACATTTCCTTGCTAAAGCTTTTCATACAAAATAACCACATATTAACTAATATTTTAACTAAAAACATTGCTACCTTGCTTTTCGATAAGACTTCTCACAAATCTGTTGTGATTTATCATAAGAGCGTTAGCGCTCATGTTGACCCTACTTTATTTATTTAGCATTGTTTCAAAATAAACTTTAAAATGTCAGAAAGTACTGTGCAGCTTTCCTTTTGTAACGCTGTTCTGTTTTATAAATGAAAGAAATCGTGAATGTGAAAAAGCGGCATCTAACGCAATCTCCAAGAAGTGTTTTGCAACAAGAAGTGCGAGCACCGACAAGTTTTGTAATACATGCAAGTGCACACACACAAAGAAAAGGGAAGCATGAAAAAATACAGCTGCAACGATGAGCAGGAATCATCGGTAAAACAGAAAATGCTCCCACTTACTTCATCATCAGTCAAACTACTTCCTTTTTCCTTTAACTTCTGTGTGATACTTTTGGACAATGCCACCATGTCTTTAGCCTGAAAGAAAGCAGTATCATAGATTCATTTAGAATTTGGAAAAGGAGGGACAGAAGGTCACTGTTGAGGAGAGGAGAAAGCACAAAAAACACAAATCAACAGTTATAATTTTCATGCCTGTGCATGAGTCTATTCCACATCAAACAGACAAATCAGAAGTACTGCACTGAACTAGATCCTTGTTAATGCTTTAGACACATTGAAGATGATCACTATAATTAACTGGAATTTGGTATGAAATATTAATTTTATTGAATATAGACGCTATCATGAATTTTTCTTTTTAAACAAGCATATAAAAAGATGTTCAAACCAAGGCCCAGTATGTCAAGTAAAAAAAAGGCTTTTGCATGCACAAGTAATGTGAGCACCGCAGGAAAAAGTCAAATGAGCATTAGATTATGACAAACTATGTGATTTTTATATGCAATACAGGCTCCACAAACAAATTTCCCATTCACAGCTTAGTATGGGAACTGCATCGCTCAAATCACTTTCAACTTATTACAACGAACATAGTGTATTAAAACGAACTTTTCTTTCTTTGTGCTACAGTACAAGAAACCTTTATGAGTTAGGGGAGAAATAACTAGCATGAACCTTCTAATAAATGTGCCTCGGTGTCTGTAATTCAATGTCATACAAACAGTAAGATACAAAGACTGTGTTTTCTTGCCTGTAATACCAAGCATGATGTTTCGTTCACACCATAATAGTTTATGCCCACATATTCATTTGCAAAACAGCAGTGGCAGCATTATAAAATCAAACAATGAAAAAAAGGACACTCGCCATTTCCATTAATTTGCTGAGATCTTCGAAGGCTGCAGATATATTCTTGTCTGCTTCGTCATGCTTTGCCTGGATTTGACGTTCGATGCCCACAATACCAGTGCGAATCTTTTTGCCCTGTCAATGCAAGTTTTCATATTTCAAGGCACTCTCTGTCTGCACATGGGCCCTTGCTACACCCAGAAATGTATCACATATCGTGTTCACTCACTCGTGAATCAACTGTGGGCATCTTCAGCCAATCTTTCCTTTGTAGCGCAGCTTGCATTTCCTGGAAAAACTAACGCCGCCAAAAATTAAGTGCGACTCGCCCAGTAAGCGATATTTAGATCCTTACCTCCGACGAGCCTCCACTGCGGAAGGAAAACCGGACATAGTCGTACGGACTGCTCTGGACGACGCCAACGTGTTTCTCGTCAGCCGGTGGGGAGACGTGGACCACTATCTTGGCACTGTGGTGCGCCAGTAGGTTGGTTACATCAAAAACATGGTTTGCACAGCAGCCGTACCTTTTACTCCAGCTTCCGCTCTGTTCTTCGATTAGCACAACGAGGCTCAGGTGTAAGCTTATCCGCTGTTTCTGCACATAAAGAAAAGCAAATAAGGGCAATTTGGAGACTTGGCAGAGATAATCATTGCGACCAACCTCAGATCCCGTCCAGTAGACTTGATGCGAAGTCAGCACCAATTCGCCTCCAACGAAAGGCGTCTGCAATAATGACACGTTAACTTACGCCGCAACAATGCGACTGCAACTCGAGAAAACGGAAAGCGAGGGTCCCGCCGGGAGTGCATCACCTTTCTGTCGCCGTCGTACAGTGCTACGCCCGGCTGTTGCCGCCGGATCACTTCGCCACTTTGCCGATTCTCGCTGGACCACACAAATCTATTCATTGCGAGCCTTCAAAATGGAACTGTCAGATCCATTACAAGTATAATTGAACAAAAATCACACATCGGATCGCTGTGCGGCACACCCACTGCACGCAAGGACCACAACAAAGCGATCGAAGCGCTACCTTCGATATCATAAGCAAAAAAAAAAATGCAAACTGAGTCGTCACGGAGCGCATTTGCCTCAATTATCTGCAACTGTTAAAAAAAACAGCTAATGACACAATTAAGAACATTTTTTTTGTTTTATGATAAAAAAAACGCGTCGGCCGTGGTCAATGGACCTGGTGTTCTATGGCCGGGCCTGACAGGGCGATCAAGAAACATTCGACAGCCCGCTCCACAAAGTGAGCGCAGAAATTACTTCAAAAAAAAAAAAAAAAAAACGCCCGCACTAGGCATTGGCTATCTTGTCGCAAAACTCGAAATCAAACTTCCTTGCATTCCAACATCTTCGCCGTTGTTTTTCTGTTATATAATTCCAAAAACTAAACGTTCTTAGTTATATGTGTTGCAGAAAACTGAAGCAAGTATGTTCCGTGGCGGCTAGCGGCAGCACTGGCCGCTCCGGCAGACGCTCTGGTCTTGCAGGTGACCAACTATACTGCCGACTTTTCTCGGGAACCTGATTGATTGATATGTGGGGTTTAACGTCCCAAAACAACCATATGATTATGAGAGACGCCGTAGTGGAGGGCTCCGGCACCCAAATCTGAGCACACTGGCCTACAACATTTTCGCCTCCATCGGAAATGCAGCCGCCGAGTACCTTAGCCACTAGACCACCGCGGCAGGGCTGTCTCGGGAACCTGCGAACTGCGCCATGTATCGTTGATTCTGCTGAGATGGTAAGAAGGCCGCGCGTTCAACCAACCTAATTAGCACTGGTCTACAGTGTATGTGTGAACGAGTGCAGTGCATGCAATGGCACGTGCAGCGCCAACCGCGCTATACCTACGCACAGCACTTCGACGACATATGTTCGAGGTAATGCGACGTCGGGAATACTCAGGCTAGCTGTTGGTGGTTAAACTCGGCGACAACTTTTCTTGGAATTGGAGCGAAGGCTACAGATCCAAATCACAGCTAGGCATCCTACCGCCAGTGAATGCACTTCCACAGCAGTGCCCGTATTTTCACCGTGATATATAGAAGTTTCTCTTTTATTTTCTACTTGGAGCTATTTGGGACAGGACGCAGCTCCTACCATTAAGATAGTCGTATTTACTGTAATTTATTCGTTGTGACTTCGCGTTTTTGACCACCTGAGAAAGTCCCGCCTTTTTACGTGTACCTCAAACGCTAAGCGGCGTCTGCGTCTACATGAAAGGCTTATTGTGCGTCCCCATTACTTTCCATAGCGTTACGAGACGCGCGCCACAACAGACTACTTCGCATAGTGCTACATGTGTAGATGCTCCGCCTCCGTGGCTATTCCTTCAGTGCCAGGAAAGTTGTCGCCGAGTATATAGCTTACTTTGCGCCAAATTAGCTACTATAGAGGACCCTGTCTGGCTACAAAAATTTGAGCTTGGCGCCAGGGCTATACCCTTGAATGCGACTGCATTTCTCAGTCGGGCTATATGTCATGCGTCCGTCGGGATCCGTTCACCGCCCTCTCTCATAGCAACAGCTGCGGGCGCGCGCATCCCTGTCAACCGGAGCTTTCACCCGTGTCACGCTTCGGCGTCAGCAGCTGTCCGCAACAGCTGTGGGCGTGCGCGCTTATCCTCGCCCCTAACAACCGAAGCCCTCCCCCCCCCCCCCCCCCTTGATTTGCCGCCGCCTTAACGCAGTGCGTTTGAAACGCGTTTGTGCTGCCTTGGCACAGCCTGACAACAGCACATATTAAATGCGTTATTCTTCTAATGTTGGGTTCTCACGTGCGAAATGCCGCGATGGACGCTACGCAATGCATTCGCTTTTTTCTCACGATTCCCTTCGGGGCGGTTAGGGCATTTTTTTGGCTACATTGAACTTCTGTATAGGCGTATTCAGCGGCTAATTTTCTTATTATTATTTGTAAGTAAAAGAACAAGGGAGCCTAAAGATCATGCCACTGTTTTCAACCTTCTGTGTCGCGAACTAATGCGCACGCATATGTCTTGGCACCAAGGACATGCAGTTTGGTGCCACCAAAGTAAATGTACACAAAGCACCCCCACCCAAAACAAATATCAGCACTAAAGTGAAGCTGGTCTGTTATTAATCGTTAATCAAGTAATCAATTTCAGTGTGCAGCTCGAACAAAAAACTGTTGCAATGTTTAACGTTCCCACTGACTTGTTGACAGTGATGCTGCAAAATTACACTATCTCTGGGAATAACTCTATTCTGCATAAATCATACACACTCAATGTGATACAGTTGCTGCACAACAAGGTGCCAAATATGATGTATGGAACTAAATGTCCGAGAATGCAAAATTATTTGTCTGCTGAAAAACTTACATTCTGCCTATTTATATTTTGAACTGCGTTGCCTCACGTAACTTATCACTTGTTACGAATGTTTACATGCACATATATATCATGCAGGATTAACATGAATGTGAAATTTTGACTATTACTGCACTTCTCACAAAAGAGCCATGAAATTCAGTTTTTGCATTTACTCTAGCAGCGCTTTGAGGATATTGCCACTTCAGCTTATTTATTGAAATATACGTGAGCAGCGTGCTATACGACCCATTTATTTTATATCTGCACTATATGTCCCATTCCTTCAGTTATGGCTCTGAGGTTATACTACTTTGTCACACACGAAGTCTGCTGGAAGTCACTCCATTATTATTTTTGACTCATACTATTCTGCTCCTTTTTGTTTGCGTTTTATCGACCCTTTTCAGCACTCAGTAACTCGCCTATGGCTTGAAGAGCAAGAGGGAAATAAATATGGTCCAATTTCTGTTTTTGCATAGTTAAAATCATACTTATTTGATAAAAATTCGCCATAATATAGCTTTCTTGTTATTGGGCGATAAAGTTAAATGGCATGGCTACTTTGGCAACATTTAGCGGGAATTTCGACTCCTTTTCAAATCTGCCCAATGGCAACAATGGGAATACTCAGTGTGTACTCGTAGGTTGCTGCGTTGCTACCATGTAAATATATGTTTATTTGTGATTTACCACTAGCAGAGAGAGGTACTGTCACAATGCCAACTTGAGACCCACATGAGTCTTTGTCACTGAGCTTGTCAAAGCTAGTGCATACATTTACATTTTTTTTTTGGCTTGCATTGCATATTACAATATTTGATAAGCTTTATTTGCCAACTCTAGTGAACATTTTCTCAACAAGATTCCATTGTATCATAATATACGAAATGAAACCAGTTATTTCTCCAAGTGCAGCCTACTGCAACAAATGTGGCCAGCCATTCTAATACCATTAAATTTTGAAAAAAGGTGTTTTTAAGTAACAGCACAAAAGTGCTGTTACTTAAAAAATTACCAGAGTATATGTCTGTACAGACTATATTCATTCACTTGCTGAGAGCAAGTGTGGAAATGGAAAGCCATGTAGCTAGCGTACGGTTCACCCTTGCCCTCCAATATTTGCAGCCATTTTTGAGGGGCGAATCACCTCAGGGTCTTGGCTTGGCGGCATGTGATATGATTGTAGAGAAGAGGACGAGCCACCGTGCTATCGCGAAGCCCACCCATTCACCTCTTCTTTATTCTTGTTCTGCTCTGCTCTTAATGATGATATCACCACTCCTTGTCTTCTACATAATTATCAACATCCTCCGCGTCCCCACAGTTGCGAATGACAATGGAGAACACTAAAATTACACATGGATTCCAAGTACACAATGTTCATCAATACGAGTTCCATGTCAATCCTTGTATAGAATCATCCGGATTTCTTTCTGCGCTTGGCCTTCCAGCGATGTTTACGGCTCTTGTTCCACGATTTTGCCAGTGGACGCATCATTTTCGTTAAACTGCTTTCTACGATCGGTTTCCTTGGGCAGGAAGGTCCATTATGCAGACTCTTCCGCAAGTTATGGTATAGCTGTTCCTCATAACTTTTCTTGATTTCTTTCTCTTGGCTGCCCTTGCCTTGGGAGCATTAGCCCTTTCACTCTGCGCTGGTTTGGACAGTCTTATTCGGGGGGGGTTGACGTCTTGACATACCGCATTTTTGCAAATATATGCCGTACCAACCACATTCTCTCTAATCTTGACTTCTGTGGCTTACCCGAAGTGCCGTAGTTTTGATAAGTACAGGCAGTAGACTTTCGTTTTCTCATTGACTTTAAAATTCTGTTCCCTTGGAGAAATGGCCTTATTTCCTTTTATCGGGCATTTGATTGCACAGACGTGACGACTGCAATACAACAAAATCTGGCATCTTCGGCATGCAATCATCCTCATGCTCTGGTGAGTCATCTTTTAGATTTCCAGATGCCTTCTGCTTTTCCTTCGTACAAGTCTCTTCTAGCATGTGCACTTGAGTTGCTGTAACTGTCGTGTCGTTTGCTTCATTGATAATGTACGCTGATGGAAGTTCTAAAGGCGTGGCCCAGTTCTTTGGAAGTAGCGGTTGTTCTGTACGCGCTTGGATGTTTTTTACGGTGGTGAAATCAGCGACATTTCGGCTTCCAGCACGTTCAGCAATTCGTCGTGAGTCTGGGTCGTCTAGCTTTTGTAGAACAAGATTGCTGCTGAAAAAGCAAAAGCTAGATGGCCGCGCCACACATGAAGAGTTCACGTTAGCTTGTGCTCCTGTCCAAACCCTTTGCCTCATGGCCTCCAAGTGAGCTTGTCAAGCATTTAATACATCTGCGATCTTATATTACACTCTGACCTTCGCTAGAATGATCTGGTGTTCATAAAGCTCTGCTTCCTCCATTTCTGCTTCCGAATGATCGATGTAAACTGTGTTTTCAATCTCCTTATCGATTCCTCTGAGAAGCTCATACTATTCAGTCAAAATTCGGTTAATTTTACGCAACTCACATATTGATGGGTGGTCCATATGCCGTAGGTGTTCGATATCTCCAATGACCTGCGTGACGGCCTTGCGTGTTTGACTCCGCCCTTCGTAGAGGGCCTTCATGATCCGGTCCAGTGTCGGAAACGGGAGAGATCACTGGCCGGCCATCTCATGAGGCAAAGTCGGAGTCAACACGGCATCCATCGCAGAAGGTTCGCACAACGAATATCCGCCATTTGTCGGGCTGTCGTTCTTCATGATCTTGTGCATATCGGGCCATCGACATGAAGGGCGAGTCGGGACTGAGCCGAAGAAGTGAGGGCTCCCGTTTTGTGAGCCTCCAGACGATGCCTGTACTCACGGAGTTGCACTGTCAAGATGTACGTCGTTGACCTATGGACTACCCTGACTTGTGAATATCGGCCCGTCGTCGTGGCAGGCAAGTCAGGACAGAGCTGATGTAGACATGAGGGCTCCAGTCTCGCAAACCTCCAGACGATGCCTGCATTCAAGTCAGTCCATGGGTGCTCCTAGTAGTCTTAGTTGCAACCGGAGTCGTGCTCACAGGTTACAATGGTGTTTAGGCCTCGCACATCAGCTTTAGCCATGGCGGCTTCGCAAAAGTCCTCGAGGCTACGACTGCGGTCAAAATTAGTGAAGTCCGCTCCGTCTCACCTCCGAAGGTCCTTCCTCCCGGGTTTCACAGCAACAAAATGTAGAAAAAAGGACAAGTTGCTATGCCCATGGTGAAGCCCACACATCCACATCTTTGTCTTGTCGCCTAGATCTTGGCTTACACCCACAAGAGGGATTGGCCAAACTGTACCTTACAATTAAAATTTTTCATATAATGCTTGCTAAAAAAGAGAAAAATTAGATAAGAACAATAATAATGTTTCTTAAAAATGGTGAAAAAGTGCAGAATTCGATAAACCAGAATATATAAAACAAATTAGCAATAATGAAGAAGGGGGACAAAGAATTCGATATATCTGGCAGTACCACTAGCAGCGTATTCTTCCGTTGCCTGAATAAATTTATGTAGCACTGACAGAACAGCACTGCGGCCCGCACCCAACTGACTGGCTCAAAACGATAAAAGGGTGGATGTATTAACTGCCAATCCGAGCATACCAATCCGTGTCTCAAAAATTATTCGGCACAGTGAGGCGAAGCTGCGGCACGTGAGAAGAAAGTGTTCTATTGTTTCTGGTTCATTGCAAACTGTACATAGGTTAGTTAACAAAAATCCTGATTTGTGGAGATAAAAATTTAACCGAGAAACTCTATAGCGAAAGCTTGTGAGGGTCACCTCACATTGACGGGAAAGGCATTTTGCGGTGTTCCATGTGAATTGCAAGTGCCGAAATTCTTCAGATTGTAGGAGCAATATTTCGCTGATTTTTAAAATTAACAGGCATTTTAATGGTTCAGCAGTAATAAAAGAAAACTGTGGAGCTACTAGTACCACCGGGAAATTTAAAGATGCCAAAGCGAGCGAGTCAGCAGTTTCATTTAGTGCAATTCCAGCATGCCCGGGGACCCAAAGAAACCAAACTTCTGATAGGCTATGCGGTATGAGAGACCAAAATATCCTGAGAAGAGGAGACTGCTTTGCGGACGTTAAATGTGTACAAACAGACAAAGCATCCGAAATAATAATAGCTTTTGATTGCTGAGAACTTAGTTTTCGAAGAGCCAATGTAATAGCCAGGAATTCTGCGAGATGAATTGGCGTGAAGTCAGGCAATCAGTTTTAAAGAAGGTCAGCTTCTTCATTCTTGTCCTGCTCTGATCTTAATGATGATATCACCACTCCTCGTCTTCTACATAACTTTCAACAATGATCACGATCCATCATAATTGGGTATTCGCCACAAAAATTTGGCAAATACCACTACCCGCCACCGATTCACTAAAAATGAAGGCAACAGCTGGCCCAATAAATAGCCAATGAAGTATCGATACTTAATTGCTATTAATTTATAGACATTTGTTACATTCAGTCTCAAAAATGGTTTCAAATGCCAAGTTTTCTCCTGTAAAGCACACTTTGTAGCATGTTGCACTGTGTAACACAAAGACAACTTATGGTAAAACTGCTCCTAATGGGCAATGAGAGACAAGCCGATAGGGATTTCTAACTTTTTACTTCTACTAGAGCCCTCCAATGCTCTGCTTCTACCTTTGTAGTACATAGCAGGTGCTTTTTCCCTAGAAGCCCTTCTGAGCTTGATTTCCTACACAGTAAAAGTGCAACTTTCTCACAAACCTCAAGGATTTTGTTGAAGCATTTCTCTCAAATCTGACTGAGCAGGACAGTATTTTCTGATGAAAAGATAAAACATGATGTGTTTATTTTTATGTACAATATGATCAAAACCACAAGTCCTCTTCATCCTTTTCTGGTGCATCTTCGAGGTTTAATAGATCCCCCCTATCTTCTACTTCCTCCTCAGACTCTGAAACGGCCAGGTCCGTGCTGATGACATTGTCCTGGGCTGCAGATGGTTCACCAGTCTCCATGCTTCGTACAGTGGTATTGCCATCTATTTGGTTGTCCTCGCCTTCCGCTTCCATGGCAGCTGGTGCATCGTGTTCCATTTGCTGGAAGTGGTACTTGCCTTGAAGCAAGAACTCAGATGGGTCATAGTTCTCGTCTATCATCTCGGTGTCTTCCATCACCTAGGGACAAGAAGATGCAGAGATCAACTTAGCACAAAAACAGTACAGAGAAATTATGCCTCAGGCAGGTTAGATTGATGTCTCATACTCCATGAAACTTAATTTCATTCACTTATGGAAAAGGCTTAGTTATTCGAAAGCTGATGTGTATCATTACAATTAAAAAGTATATGTTAAAGAGTGTTAATGGTTGGAGAATGGACTCAGTCTAGTAATGTCTAGGCCTCAGCATTCCTTTTCTTGAGCATCAGCAAATCCTTTTCATCCATTAAGAAAGCTCAAAAACTAGAAAATAACAGGTATTCAGACCCTCGTATACAGGTGCCATGTCTTGGCTTTGGTGTGGGAAGGGGCTTCTGTAAGGCAGTGGTTTTATGCCACTGCATAAATTATGAAGTGACAGCCATGGCCAAGTGTAAGCTCAATGATTCCATACTGAGTAGTGTCTTTTTCACCTCTGGTTCCTGCACCATAGAGGCCCTTGTCATGAGAACATGCGGATGCTCGTCATCGGAGTCCCCAGTCATGTCTTCTTCCTCAGGCTCGCTATTTTCGGGGGTGATTTGCAGGTCCTGGTCCAAGACACTTTTGTCTGGCCCAACTGTAGATGATGGACACCTTTCTTCAAGCAGCGAAGTGTCGCCCTCCTCATCTCCTTCCACATCCACAAATTCACAGTCCTCTGGTGCTGCACTGTCGCTGTGCTTCCGTGACGAAAGCTGCCAGGGAAGGCAGCACACGGTTAGAGGTGGACAGAGCATTTAACACAAGCAAAGAATACTGCTATCTACTACTGCAAAGAATACTGCTATCTTTTTTTTTTTTTTTTTTGACTCAGAACTAGGGTGGCGTGTTAGATTGACTGCTTTTGGACAAATCGTCCACTTTTCAAATTATGTAGCAGCCAGCACAGGCACTTGCTGCCCATTAGACAAGCATTACTACACAACAGAAATGTTACACAGATTAGGCCCACCCAGAATACTGCCATTTCTGCTTTTAGCAACTTGGCCAACGAAGTTGCGATGAAAATGACATGATCAAATAATCGGCCAAACATGCCTTGGTGAGCGTACTGCAACTGCCTACACTTCGTATAGGGCTTTTGTGAGCTTCCAAAGAGCCGCAGCCATTTGGGTAGTACCAATGGCTTTACTTTCAAGCCAAGCAACAGGTTGAGTAGGTAATATGAAGTAGCCCAGAGATCCTTTCTCGGGGCAAATGCAAATCAGTGCTCCTAACATCAAGACACTTCCTCACTTAAATTTGCGAGCTTCTGATTTTTTTTCCTTGCCTTTTTTTTTTTTTTGCAAGAGCCAAGACAAGCATGTATTGAAGGACCATCAGTTCTTTGAGAAATGCCTCCTGTTACAGCATATTGTGGCTACACATCTAGCTTATTGAAAAAATTTTCATGTAATGAAAGGAAAACCAAAAATAAGTCCAGTTCTTTCCACGAGTCATGTAAAGTCTGCTCGAGAAAATGCACCAGCATTGTACACACTAGGTGAATTTATCCTGCAGCAGGTACCATACTGCTGTTACTAGGACAGAGGAACTCACTCTGGAAAGGCTGGTATATGCTTGCGGATCCAGGTCATCTCGCACGATGTCACTTTCAGCCAACACACTGTCTTCAGCCGGGTAGGAGTTTCCTGTGGCCACCGAGTCAGTGTCGGCTGCCTCCAAAGCGGCCTCCTGAGCCACCTTGATGGCTTGCTCAAGCTGGCTTAGCTGGCTGTCATGCTACAAAAAAGAAAGATACATTTTACGTTTTCCTTGTTACATTACATACGCACCACTTCTATTCAGTGGATTGTTCAAAAGTAAGCACAGCCATTCCTATGCCTTCAAATGACTGTCCACAGATCTATTGAGATCTCTTCAGTAATTGCATCTATAAATGGTAGTTTTTTTTCTTTTGAAAGACGAAAGCCTTGGATGCCTCATCAAATGCAAAAATTGAGCATCGTGGTCAACATAAGTGATGTAAAAAATCATCATTATTCCTGTGATAACAACACCATACGATGTCTTCATGGTGTCACAGATCGTCATAATTTGTGACATCATTATGACATCGCATGGTCGAAGGTGGGCCGATCAAGAAGGAAATGCAAAACCAGGTGAGGTGTAGACAGCTTGCAAGGCCTCCAATTTGGGAGGCAGGGCAGAACCAAGTTAGATACAGAAAACTTTTGGATGGGGGTGGGGAAGGATCGGTGCATTGGTTTAGAAAATGAAGAAAATGGCTTTCGCATTCAAGTCATCTTAGAATGCATATTGCGAGTATCCTTTTTTTTTACGTGCCAAGATGACTTATTGCTGCAAGTTAAAAAAAAGTTCAAACGCGCAAACCTCGTCAAGGGCAGCACGACAAGCGTCGACAATTTCCTTAGCCTTCTGAGTGAACTGGCTGTCAGCACCGTTGAACTGCATGCTGTTTCGGTACAGCAGTTCAACATCGGAGAAGAATTCTTCCCGGCTGTGGTACTTGTGTGCTTTGATGTTCTTGATGACGGTGTCCAGATCCATGGGGCTCTTGATGACCGTGTAGTAGTCCTTTACAAACTTCTTGTTGACAGGCTTGTGAAAGGGCCACGACTCAGGAATGCTCTTGAGGTGGTCAGTTACGATGCCTTCCAGGATGTAGGACAGGGCCACCTGGTCATCATCATCCAGCAGTGGGTTGATGGCTTTTTCCAAACGCATCAGCTTGTCCTCTTTCTCGGCAAAGCGCTTGATGCACAGCTCTAACATGCTCTGCGCTGCCTGTGTCAACGGACTCTTGGGGCCTAGGTATAGAGGTTGCAACCAATCAAAACAGCAATTAGATATCACTTGTAAAAATGCTTTCTTTGAATGGCATGAATAAACAGGAATGGCCTTTTAAAAGGGAAACTGGGTTAAGGGGATATTCTGCTGTAGAAATAAATCAACTGGTTTAGTTTTTCATGCTGAGCTCAAATATGCAATAACTTACCTTGTAGCTGCACTCTGCAGTAGAAAGTGAATGGTAAGCTAGGTACTAAAATGTGCAATAGGTGCAGCACTGCAAACAGTTTTCCAATCAAATGATAACTACTCATTCGGCAGGTTCAATGTACTATGCAGAAAATTATAAATCCACTCATCAATTTTAGTAATATACAGTCTGGGCTTTATGTTTAAGAATGATTGCACATCTAGCTGTTCTAAATCTCAAGATGCCACTCCAGCAAAATTAAATAAGTGGCCCAAAACATTTCAGGTTTAGCTTGTACACAATACACCGATTTACACTGCAGCAGGAATACCAGTCTTATATAAGAATTAAATTAGACTTTACATGTCAAAGAATAGATGTAGATTTCAATAGCGCATCAAATGCTCATTTTCCATGATTTTTCTTTTCTGTCCTTCTAACCCATGTCCACCATTAAAGAACACTTTTTCATGGCAGCTCAACTCAGTGACGAGCTGAATGATCTGGATTTGTTTATTTTTTTTACACACCTTTGGTAAGACAAGGTTTTCAGAGACAGGTTACAAAGAGCTTTCTTCAAATTTGTCCTAGATAGCATTAGGAAATAAGGTCTGCTCGTACATTCAACTTATTCTGGTGCATTTGCCTAGAAGCTTCCTAAATTCAAATTACACTGTGCTTAAAGCACTATAAACAATACACGAAATTTTTTTTTTGGAGAAAGTCGCAGGCATATTTATACAGAGGGTCATTTAAAAGAAAGTTGTGCCTCTTCAAATATGAACAATTTGCAGTATTCCAAATGAAGATGTAGTGAGATAAACTATTGAATGCGCAGGGGCTTTACGTGAACTTCCATACATAGATAGACAAGTAAAAATGGCAAAAACGGTTGCAGGCAAACTTGAGATAAGGAAGCAGGGATGACAAATGACAGAGAAATAATGAGGGGGAGCGAGTGCTATGTAACTGACCATTGTAGAGCGTGCTGTTCTCCACAATCTGATTGACATCAACGAGGAACTCTTCTCGACTCTGGTAGCGCTTCTCGTGCACCTTCTCCCGTATACGTTGCAGGTCCATCGGGACAGTGATGATCTTGTGGTAGTCTGGCACTACCTTTGCACTGACAGGATGCCAGAACGGCTGCGTCTGCACATTGAAAGTGGCACATACTTTTTTAGACTGCCTACTTATGTGCAAAAAAAAAAAAGCGTGTCGAACAATAAAGGAGGGGGGAGGGCATCACAATGAAGCAATGGTTGTCCAGTTAGTTTATTGATAATAAAGCTAAAGTTGAATAACTAGTTTTGCCTGCATTAATTTTTACAGTGTTGTTTCATTGATCTCAGGATGATAGAAAGAAATAATTACATGGGTGCAGAGTCCTTCTTAAGTCTAAACACTGTTTTGCTTGATTTCTGCTCATTGCCATTTTATTGCAGTGTAACAGTTATTAATCTTTTTTTTTCTTCATATACTTGTGCATTCTCTCCCAATGCAAGAAAAAGCACCAATCTTTTTTATCAATGGCATGATTAACAAAACTTTAACTGCATCACACATGCATGGCACAAGCTATTGAGAACAACAAACAACGAAGACAAGGAAGGTGTAGGGGATGTTATTTGTACTATAATAAATGTAGTACAGTAATTATAATGTATAGTAATATGATAGATTCATGATGTAAATTCTACAATACATTATTAGACCGCAAATAATATCCTCTACTGGTTCCACTGTCGGTTTCATTAGGTCAACTCAAACATAGAAAACAAGCCTTTGATCCATTTCCTTTCTTTCATGCATGCTTGGTATGGCAGAGTGTCAGGGATCATGGGTTCGAATGAGAAAGCGCCAACAAGCACACACGTACATCAGGCAGGTCCCGCATCTCATTCAGTATGGTCTCCAGGAGGATGGACAGGGTAACCACTGGGTCGGTACGTCGACGGTTGGCTGACTTGTTTGGTTTGCGCAGGTAGTCGCAGTGTAGCACAGTGCCTGCACGCCGTCGCTTCTTGAGGGCCATGGCTTCCTTGGGGAACTTGAGAACCAGAGACTTGCGCCGGATCTCATCCGCATGCTTGATGAGTTGTTTGGACAGCACCACACGCGTCTCATCCACCTGCCAAATCACCACAGTGAGCGGATCATTAGCGGAGAGAGTAAGCGATACCAATGCTGGAAGGCAAAAATGTTGAGAAAAGTCCCTCACAAAATAAGCATTTTCAAATAAAGAGCTGCTAAGGCCAGAATATTAATGCAATATCAAAAATAAAAATTTGGATTATATAATTCCTGCTAACCGAAAATTTTTGAAATACTAAAATGAAACCAGCCACTTTGTATATTGCAAACTATTTTTCCTTTCTGTGCAGTATAGAACAAAGTCAAAGTTGAAATACTGCGACTAAACAAGTGCAGTGATGAGTAAAGGGTATGTATTCCCTTCAGACGTGAATTATGATCCACTGTCTGCAAATGTCTTAAGTTTGCATGGCATGATTCGAAGGCACTCAGTACTACATTCCAAAAAAAGAAAATAAAGGAATGTTTTGTCTTGCGTGAGTTTTAGTAATTAATGTTAATTAGCATGTAATTAAGTATCGAATTGTTATTTATTCGGTCAGCATCAATTTTTGCACAAAAAGAATAACATATTAGGTTCAAGTGCAAGCACAGTTTGTTTTTGGGTTGCATTCATTTAAAAAAAAAGAAAAAACCTTAAAGGGGCCTTGAAACACTTTTTTAAGTAGTAACTAGGAATGAATTCACTGGAAGAGCTTGTTGCCTCAAAAATTAAACGCTGTAAAAATTAAAAAAAAAAAACGTCCAGTACGAGTGGAGTTACAAAGATTCTCGTTCTCTCCTCGTTCTCTCCTCGTTCAATCTCGTTCTCTCCTCTCTTGCCCCGATGAAAGCGCTGGAAGCTAAGCAGGAAGGGGTGGCAGGGGCTAGGAAAATACTTCACTTGCGCCTCGCCACTTTGAGCACTTTTTACTTTTCTTTTTCTTTGAATGCAAGGCTTCTTCAGTGTGATCGCGCGCACACGCGTGGACAAGTCGCGGCCTCTTGTGGCGATCTTTGTAACGACCAAGCGCGCCATGTTCAAATCAGCCAATGGCTGATAGATGGGCTTTCTACGAGTGATTTTTGAGTGTCTTCCGTCGTTTGTCGAGAGAAGAGAAAGCAATTTTTAGCTGACTTTGATAATTTATTGTAACTACCAGGCCACGTGCTGCGCTGTAGCACTTGACTGGCGTGTTGTCGGGAGCCTCTACTACTGATCAACAGCGTTTTTTGACCATGCTCAAAAAGTGTTCAGGGCCAGTTTAACGTGGCACCTGAAACAGGGCACGTCAACTGGTCGCCGAACAAGGCAGTGCCGTGATGTGCCTCTAAACATTATGTGTACAATTGTACATGCTGCAGCTGAAGGGAATTTAGCTGTTCTGTTAAATCATCAGCTTCATACTTACCTACTACAAAACGAAGAGAATATGAGTGATATAAAAATTATTTATCAGACCCCAACCAACTTTGACATAACTTGTGACACACCATAGGTGAGAATACCAAACTGGTTGGCTTTAAAGCTTGCTTAGTCCTGTTTACGCAACGCATACTTGCCTGATTTCTACTAGATACATACTTTTGCCATATCATCTTTCTCAACATTTTTAACACTGCAGCAGGCACCCGTGTGTTTACAGGACCACATATAGTAGCTATATAGCAGTAACCCAGATGACACCCCACCAGTAATGATAGAAGAAGTCAGAAAAGCCTTGGAGAGCATGCAAAGAGGCAAAGCTGCTGGTGAGGATCAGGTAACATGACATCTGTTGAAAGACGGAGGACAGATTGTGTTAGAAAAACTAGCCACCCTATTTACGAGGTGTCTCCTGACGGGGAGAGTATAGAGCTAGAGTCTTGGAAGAATGCTAACATCATCTTAATACATAAGAAAGGAGATGACAAGGACTTGAAGAATTACAGGCCGATCAGCTTGCTCTCTGTAGTGTACAAGCTATTTACACAGGTAATTGCTTAGAGAATAAAGAAAACATTAGAATACAATCAACCAAAGGAACAAGCAGGATTTCGAACAGGCTACTCAACAATTGACCACATTCATACTATCAATCAGGTAATAGAGAAATGCTCAGAATATAACCAACCACTATACATAGCCTTCATAGATTACGAGAAGGCGTTTGATTCAGTAGAAATATCAGCTGTCATACAGACACTGCGGAATCAGGGCGTCGATGAAGTATATATAAACATCCTGGAAGAAATCTACAGGGAATCAACTGCTACCATAGTGCTTCATAAAGAAAGCAACAGAATACCAATCAAGAAGGGTGTAAGGCAGGGGGACACAATCTCCCCAATGCTATTTACCGCGTGCTTACAGGAGGTTTCCAAAGGCCTAGAATGGGAACATTTAGAAATAAGAGTTAATGGAGAGTACCTTGGTGACCTGCGCTTTGCCAATGACATTGCATTGCTGAGTAACTCAGGGGACAAATTGCAACTCATGATTACGAAGTTAGACAAGGAGAGCAGAAAGGTGGGTCTTAAAATTAATCTTCAGAAAACGAAAATAATGTACAACAACCTTGGAAGAGAGCAGCGTTTCAAGATAGGTAATAGTCCACTTCAAGTTGTAAAAGACTATGTCTACTTAGGCCAGGTAATAACCGTGGAGCCGAACCACGAGGTTGAAGTAAATAGAAGAATAAGAATGGGGCGGAGCACATTTGGCAAGCACTCTCAAATTATGACAGGTAGATTGCCACTATCCCTCAAGAAGAAGGTATATAACAGCTGTATCTTGCCGGTACTTAGCTACGGAGCAGAAACCTGGAGACTTACAATGAGAGTTCAGCTTAAACTGAGGACGACCCAGCGAGCACTGGAAAGAAAAATGGTAGGTGTAACCTTAAGAGACAAGAAGAGAGCAGAATGGATTAGGGAACAAATGGGGGTTAAGGATATGATAGTTGAAATCAAGAAAAGGAAATGGACATGGGCCGGGCATGTAGTGCGTAGACAGGATAACCGCTGGTCATTAAGGGTAACTAACTGGATTACTAGAGAAGGCAAGCGAGTTAGAGGGAGACAGAAGGTTAGGTGGGCAGATGAGGTCAAGAAGTTTTCGGGTATGAAACGGCAGCAGCAAGCACAGGACCGAGTTAACTGGCGGAACATGGGAGAGGCCTTTGTCCTACAGTGGACGTAGTCAGGATGATGATGATGATGACATAGTAGTTATACTTTTATCTGAACATAAACTTCCTTATGAACGGCAACGAGTCCACTGTTAGCCCTCAGAAGGCATCTTGACAAAGACTGCCTGCCAACGTTGCCGAGTGCTACTTAGTTTCTAGTTCACATGCATGTGTGCAGTCCCCTGCTATTTTTCATCTTTTGCCAATTGTGAGTGTCCCATTCCTTTCACATAGAATGTAGCTAACCAAAACTTGCTTCTTTTATGAAGTTCTCCGGTATATAATCTAACGTGACAAAACTAGTACTAACAAGGCAGCTGGCACACTGTCGAATGGGCATGCATACCTTGACAAGGTTGTCGTCCTGCAGTCCACAGCCCTCCTCCTCTTCCTCTTGCTCCTCTGTCATGGCCACTTGCACGGGAGGCAATGGGGCCATGGGCTGGTATTGGGGGCATGCCTTGTTGGTGCGCATGTGCCCGATAGCGCCACAAGCTCCGCACTTTAGCTGCACAAAACCAGTACAAACATGCAGTTATATGCACTGAACACTCAAGTAATAGCTGGCTAAACCCATGTCCACATTAGAGCTGCACAGACATAAGGGCCACACTTTCAGCGTTGGGTTAAGTATTATGTAAAACAGTGTACTTTCTGATCACTTACTACAGTAGGTACACACACTTTGCCAGCCATTGTATGCACCCAACAGTCTACCAACACGGTAGGCTGCTACGGTAACGCGTGATGTAATTCTGCTAAATGTTCCTTTTTTTCTCTCCTTCTATCTTCCTTTCCTCTGTGTTTTCCCGTTCCCAAACAAACAAGGAGGCATTGTGCTCCTTTAGATGGCAGTTGTCAGCCTGTTCCCTCCCTGTTTCCTCTGTGTCTTCTAGTTTTTTTTTGTGTGTGTGTTCAAACCAAACAATAATAATAATTCTTTGAGGTCTTCTCAGGGGTAAAAAAGCAATTCTATACAATGGAGAGCAAACGTAAAAGAAGAAGTTCAGTTATGTGCTTACATATAAGCTACCCAATGTTGAAAATGTCATTTATGATGGCGGTTCTGTTGTATTTAGAAGATACAGGAAGAATGCATCCGATGCCTTAACATCATACTCTTTAATCGATGATCCCACGTACCCATCCTCATCTTCTTTCGTATATACCCCATTTCCCTGGCTGATAAAAAAAAAAACTATCACTTGCATAGCCCATAGTCCCTGAGCTTCAATGAAGTTTTTTTCACTCGACGGCTCTTCTGTGGTGGCTGGCCGGACATTTTGTTCTGCAGTGAAAATGGTTCATTGGTTTGGGGTGCTGTCCCTTGCCGTGGCATAGGTGGACAGTCGTCGTGTTGTTCACTCGCAGGTGCATTACCTTGAAAAGGCTCGTCCGATGAGGGCAGATACCAATCTAGAATTCCAGGCCGATTGCTTGTCAGCTTCCCCGCGGCTTCTGGGTGTATTGCTTGCCATTTTAGAGGAGTTCCATACACGACCATCTTCCAAAAGAAATGAGGCTGGCCCTGGTTGCTCAATGATTTTCTTCGGCTCCGAAAAGTGCTGGGATATTTTCCCGTCCCCGCAGACGGCTTTCTCACACGGACGTAGTCACTGATGGCAAAGTTTCTGGTCCGAGCTCCACAACAGTAGTCAGTGTAAAGTTTGGAAGAAGCTTGTTTTTGTTTGACACGCTGACGCAGCCATTTCATCGACTCTGCTGAATTTTGGTGGAATTAAGAATCCGGTAATCCAACAATGCTTGGGCGAGTTCGTGGAAGTCGTCCATGCAGGAAAATGGCGGGTGCAACTCCCGTTGTGGCATGAGGTGCGCAGCGGTAGACAACCAAATAGTCCGTCGCGGTGACACGAATATTACGCCGCTTATATACTGCCATATAAACAATAGACTTTAGGACTCTGTTGAACCTTTCTACAAGTTCGTTTGCTTGCGGGTGGCAAACAGAAGAAAAGCAATGGCATATGTCACGTTCCCGAATGAACTCAAATTCAGCTGAGCTGCATTGTGGTCCGTGATCACAAACTATTTCGTTCGGGTAGCCATAACGAGCAAACACTTGTAACAGGACATTTTTGACCTTCGCCGCAGAAACTTGTCTCGAAAAAAAAAAACTTCTGGCCATTTGCTGTGATAATCATCATCGCATAACTACAATTGATGGGAGCTTGCTCAAAGGGCCCAATAATATCAATGGCGATTTTCTCCAAAGGGTTGTCAGGCTAAGTTACTGGCAGCATAGGGGCTGCAGTAGGCCGTGCAGATTTGTCACATAACTGGCAAACATGACACGTTTTAACCAGTTCTTCTACATGGTCATTCATTCGAGGCCACCGGTACAACTCTCGCAGTCGAATTTTCGTACGACTGATCCTCGGATGCGATTCATGTGCGACTTCCATTAAACGACGAGTAAGGTTACTTGGAACTGCGATCCTTTCACCACGATAAAGCAAGTTGTGCAAAATCGATAGCTCTGCACGCACATAGAAGTATGGCATTAGCACACTGCTTCCAAAGATTTTTTTTTTTTTTTTCAGGCCAAGAAGACAGAACGACGTCCATGATTTTTGTGATTACCTTGTCAGTTGCACTCAATGCTTGTAATTCTGCCATGGTTAACATCGGATAAAGGCGGCAAACAAACTGATCGTCAGCAACCTGACCCGTTTCTCCAGGTAAAGGCAGGGATCTCATCGAAATCCCATTTTCGCGAAATTCGAAAGAAGCGGTAGCAGCAAAGTGGATACTTGTGAATTTTTTTTAAGAAAGTAATTTTTTTTTTAAGAAAGTAATTTTTTTTTTGCGATACCAAAAGTGGTTTTGCGGTCCTGGGAACTCAGAAAACAAAACATATTTTTCCTGGTGAAATTAGAGGAAGTCGGTGGACAGGCACCAACGTTCTTATCTGAACACAGCCATACCAATTCTAAACATGACTGCATTGGAATATATCTTATGTTTTCAGAAAGGGCACTAGCTTTGTTTGTGAAATATCAATAAAAAAAAAAAAGAATGTATCTTGCTATCCTTCAGTTAAAAAAAATTGGCCCGAATCACGGTGTAAGAAGTAGCTTAGGTGAGCGAGCGCGCTCGCTGGGCGCGCCGCGGTAAGGTTCTGCTTCCAGATAGCGCCAACAGATGGCGCGCGAAACTAATGCCCTTTAGGGTGCCTTGATGCCCGCGCGCTCGCGCGCATCGAGGCACTCTAATGCCCTTTGGCTCTGCCTCCCGCATGCCGTGCGCTTGCGTCCCGTTCGCGGTGTAGGACCGCTCTGCCGAGGGCAACCGAAGCGCTGTCAAGGACCTACGAGCGGTTTTTACGTATTATGAGGCCTAGTCGTTGACTTATTGTTCACAATGGGTTGCCCAGGAACGATTGGCGATGTGCGGTTCACTTTGGCTGGAGACTGCATATAACTGATTAATTTTCTTAATAACGTAAACCGAGGCCTGAGCAGTACGTTGGAATCGACATTAAGCTATGGCATCATGGAACAGGTTCTGGTGCGACCACGCTTTGTCGCAATCGCATGATTACACAACTTAACGTTTTTTTTTTGTTTTTTTTTAGTGACGTATGTGCTGTTTTTTCATCAGCTGTACCTGGCGCCACTGGTTCAAAAGCCAGGGGCATCTCTCCTTGCTATTCCGCTTATATTGCCGCGAAAGCTTTGTACTGTTTGTTTTGTACGTGTTCCTCTGACCTATGGTGCAACGCACCTCGGGGGATAGGCCATGGATCGTTCGCGTTGAAAGTTACCGCCACAAGACTTTATCACTTTTGTGCGCGATACGAGATGTCCTAAAAGTAACTACAAGAAACTGGAACAGTGTCTTCGACATTGTTCCACATTCTTGTCGTTACTTGCGGGCGCTTATCTCGAAAGTTTTTTACGGCTTTTAAATTGAGCACGGCCTAAAGCACCAAGCACTCTGTTCTTCGACGACCGCCGTGCACGTTTGTTGCTGTCGCCGGCCCCGAGTTGTACGGTTCTTAGTTGGCGCTAGTCCGCCTAATGAACACTTTCTTTTAGAAGCGTTTTGGTTCTCTTCCTGACCGTCGGACTGCCGTCATCACTACGTGACAATACGTAGCATAACTTCACATCAGGACACATATACCATTTATTTACTGACTTTTAGAATTTTCAGACATGAAATCGATCACACAAGAGGACACACAATATGTCCGATAAAAGAAGTTCATGAAACGCATATAAGCAAAGAAAGTCGCATTGAGTCCGTGTAGCGGTCGTGCTCACACAAGCTTTGCCATTTTTCGCAAGTCGTGGCTCTTTTTTTCATGTCTATTCTTCAATTGCCTACAGTACTGACGCATACGTAGGCAGATATAGTAGTGTAGCAACTTCGCAAGCATTTCTTCTTTGTGCGTACCGCAAGGAAATGTGAAGTGGAAATTCTCCAACACGGCATCAGTAGTTTTGTCGTATGCATCCCTGTCCCCTGCATACTTGGCAAACTGTTCCTCGGTGTACTTGAAAAAGTCAAAGAGGTGCATATTTGGATGCGTGAGCCAGCCCCGGGTTTTACAGTTCACGAGATCAGCTTCGGGCACGCTTGCGAGACCTTGTTTTCCTTGAAGAGCGTTCTTGCAAATGGAACAGGTTGTTCCATTGCGAAGTTTTCTGGACACAAAACCTGTAACGTAGTAGACAATGCACTCAACTACTGTTGCGTCTGTGTCAGGGTCGTCGAAATCGAAGACATCATCGCACTCCCAGCTTCCTTCGTCGATGAGCCCGTCAAGCTTTCGCTTTAGTTCATCCAACTTTCCTGTGCGTTGCGCGGCAGAACCTTTATATATTTCCCTGATATCAGACAAAGTCACAACGGCTGCTTGTCTTTTATCAGGCAGCGTGCAATTCCCAAACTTTGGTGGTTTTACCAAAGAATATAAGCTGAGCATACGGTACAGCTGTAGGAACGTGGGAAACGTCGGGTGCTCATTTTGCCCACCAGCTTGCCTGATTATTCCAAAGAAGCGCTCCAGCGGGTCTTGGTTCATCTTCGCCGTCAATACATACTTGAAGTCACAGTCCTTCAGCAGGTAAATTGACAGCTCCCGCACTGATTTCAGGGTTACGCGTAGGCCTTCTGCAGTCGACTGCGTCAGAAAAAGGTCCTTATGAATTTCCCCGCTCACGACCTGTTGCTCCCATGAGTCCAGCCACGCGGATGCAGATTCTAAAACACAAAAATCTCTGCCTTCTAGTTTTAAGCCTTCTGCTGGAAAACGTCGGTTTAAAGCGTCAAACAGGTCATTTAAAAAAAGTGTGAACTCGACCGTCGGCTCAACATTGGTCAGACGAGACGCGCCTCTCTTTGCATAGAAAAGAATACCTTTGGCTACGGAGTTGCTAAATATCTGCGTGGCAAGCTTCACCCTCATCCTCAGCATTTTGGAAGGGTTGATGTGGTTGAATGTTATTTTAGGGCACACCTTTAGCTCTGCTTTGTTCTCGT